AGGGCCTCATGATTAGGCAAGATTCCTCCGGGAAAAGCTCTTAGACACAAGAAAACTGCTTTTATCAAAATCACTTTAAATTCTGCCTTAGCTTCCATTTCACTCCATCTATTAATAGACACGGCTGGGATCTTAAGTTGAAACATATGATTTCTTGCTCTCAGACCTAACGGCAGCGAGAGGATTTTCAAGGGCTTCAGCACTCTCAGCCTTGGTGCATCTGTCTCTGACGGCATCAAAGTGCACACACCTTCCTCTCCAGCCAGATGCCTCTGTCTCTGATGGTATCCGAAGTGCACACACCTTCTTCTCCAGCCAGATGCATCTGTCTCTGATGGCATCCGAAGTGTATACACCTTTCTCTTCAGCCAGATGTAAAGTGCACACACCTTCCTTTCCAGCCAGATGCATCTGTCTCTTACAGCATCCGAAGTGCACACACCTTCTTCTTCAGCCAGATGTATCTGTCTCTGATTGCATCAAAGTGCACACACCTTCCTCTCCAGCCGGATGCATCTGCCTCTTACAGCATCCGAAGTGCACACACCTTCTTCTTTAGTCAGATGCATCTGTCTCTGATGGCATCCGAAGTGCACACACCTTCTTCTCCAGCCAGATGCATCTGTCTCTTATGGCATCTGACGTGTACACACCTTTCTCTTCAGCCAGATGTGAAGTGCACACATCTTCTTCTCCAGTCAGATGCATCTGTCTCTTAAGACATCTAAAGTGCACACACCTTCTCCAGCCAGATGCTAGTTTATTTAGGCCCGCGGGCCTGGGTGTGGGACAATGGTTTATATTCTGTCAATTATATTTTAAATAAATGCTGATTGGCCAGTAGCCAAGCAGGAAGTATAGGCTGGACAACCAGACAGGAAGTAGAGGTGGGTCAATGAGAATAGGAAAATTCTGGGAAGAAGAAAGTTGCTCTGCAGCATGACCCAGCCACAGAAGAAGCAAGATGTGACTGCCTAGCTAAAAAAGGTACTGAGCCACATGGCTAACATAGACAAGAATAATAAGCTAATATAAGTTATAAGAGTTAATAAGAAGCCTGAGCTAGTGGGCCAATCAGTTTATGCCTAATGTAGACTCTGTGTGATTTCTTTGGGACTTAACGACTGTGGGAACTGGGCAGGACAGAAACCCGGGTTAACAGGCCTCTGCTTGGTCATTCCAGCAGCTCCTACGGTAGAGGGCACCACAGTCTCCCAGAGGTAGGAACTGAATTCTCTTTGAGTCATAAGGGTAACAATAAAAAGTGTACACTGTGTGGATGTCTTCAGAACACCACTTAACTCCCAAAGCCCCGGGGGGGGGGGGGGGGAGCACTTCTTCCTTTAAGGAAGAATGCAAGACTTGGAGAGGTTGTCACACGTCCAAACTCATTTGGCCATAAAAGCACAACTGGATTTCAGAACAGAATATATATATATATTGTTCTTTGAGACAGGGTTTCTCTGGATATAGTCCTGAGTGTCCTGGAACTCTCCTTCTAGACCAGGCTGGCCTCAGACTCAGTGAGATCCACCTGCCTCTGCTTCCCATGTTCTGGGATTAAAGGCATTCACTACCACTGCCAAGCCAGAACCTATATTCTTAGTGACTATTCTTTCCAAAAATGAAATTCATGTATAATGGTTACTAGTAACTACCTAATAATTATAGTAAAAAACTAATAGATTAAGAGCAACAATTTCCCCAAACCCCACAAGAAGTAATAGCACTTGTTGTATGGTGCTTATGTAGTGATAGGTTCATCCCACTATTACAGGTTGCTGTAGATTGCCCACGTGGGTGCTGGGAACCGAATTCTTGATCTTCTGGTAGAGCAGTCAGGTCTCTTAACCATTAAGTCATCTCTCCAGTCCCTAAGTAATGTACTGACCTGAACTTATATACCTGCTTTAAGCAGTGCTAGGAGATAAGTACTATCCTCAGTGTTCCTTACTCCTGAGTAACTCCTTACCCGATGCCCCTGCCTTCCTGTCCATTCTGTTTACTGGAAAATAGAGCCTTCGGATTTTCCCCAAGTCTTTCTTCTGTTGACCCTGGAAACAGAAGTACCTTCGTTGCTGGTTTTAATTGTTCATTCACATCTAGTGTCTGAGAGTTCTTTGTTGGGTGTGACTGCGCTGTGCACTACAGCGTACTTATCAGAGGACCGGATGTCTACAGCTCCCTTTCCAGCTGTGTCAACCAAAAGATGTCTCTCAACTGGATGTGTTGTATTTGGGGAAGAGGAGCAGGATGGCCCCTGTTGAGAATCACTGGTCTAGAGACGTTTCCAGTAGCCTGGACTGTGGGAAGTCTTTCAGAAAGGGACTGAGAAGGGTGGGTGCTGTTACACTTGCTTCTAAATGGCAAAGTATTCAGAGATGCCAAGGAAGTCTGGCAGGAAATCCTCCTGTCACTGGAAGAAACTTAATCAGGGTGCTTTCTGTTCTTTGGAGTTTTTCATTCCAAGCAAAAAGATGGCAATTTTTTTTGAGGAGCATCTTGGAAAAATTAAGGAAATGACACAAATTTTCCTAACTGATCTGAGACACACAGAAGGAAACTGAAAAAAAAAAAGTTAATTAGTGTGAACAGTCTGGCCTGGTGAGATCCTGTCTCAGGCTGGCGGATCGCTGCTGTAAGTGGAGAGATAAAGTTCAAAGTGCTGAGTGCACGGAGACTCAGGTCGCACATACATCTGGTCACCCAGCTAACAGGGTGACAAATGGGTCAGAGCTGAGGTGCTCTGGGGCAGAGTAGGGTTGGAATGAGTTCACGGAGGGAAGGCCGGGCTTGTGGATAAACTACTTTAGTGGAAGATTCGGGGTGAAAGGGAAGAGATTGGGGTAAGCAACAGGTGCAGTAGCGAGAAAGTTGCCCTGCGTGGAGCTTGATCCTTTCAGGAGTTGCAGAAAACCAGCGCTGAATACAAACCTCAGAGGTACAGGGCAAGAGAGCTTCCATCTTTATCCACAGATTCACATTTGCTCTTGCCTGAGAGCTATGTCCAGGCTCAATCATTCCCCAGTACCTTCATGGGTTCTGACATCAGGAAGAGGGGTGGGGACCGGCAGTTGAGAGCAGCCAGTGGGCCTGGATGGTGATTGGCATTGGGGCATAAGCTTCAGCTTCAGTTTTCATTTGAAAACATGTTTGAAAGTAGCTTCACTTTGTAACTATGTTTAATAATTTTTAGCTTCTTAATTATTTTTATTTCTAATCATTTATTTTCTATCTTTTCTTTGTTCCTCCCCACAAACAAGGTTTCTCTGTGTAACCCTAGCTATTCTGGAACTCTCACTGCAGACTAGACTGACCTCAGATTCAGAGATCCGCCTGCCTCTGCCTCCTGAGTGCTGGGATTAAAGGCACGTGCCACCACTACCCAGCAATGATGTTTAATTTTTAATAAAAATTCTGTTACATTTAAAAACTTTGGGAAAGTCTACCAAGTTACCCTTAAAGATACCTGTGCCTTATCTATTTGTTTGTTTATTTGAGACCACAAAAAGACAACCTCCACAGACTGAGAAGCCACCCCAGGCCTGTTCTCGGCTCCTTTTTCCACAAGTCCTTTCATGCCCATTCAAAACCAGACATTTTCCTTTCCCTGTTTCTCATTAATTCAGGACAATGCCAGGTTTTTGGTGGTGGCTGTTCCTTTTTGTTTTTTCTCTTCCTTTTATGAACTCACTTCCAATTCTTTCAGTTCCTTAAATCTAGAAGGTGTTGGCATGTTTCTCCTTCTCATTCCACCCCGACTCCCAATGACTTCCTCCTTCCTCTTCTTTAGGTTTGGCTAAATGTCCCTTCTTCACTGGGACCTAACTTTCTACAGAAAGGCTTTCTCATTCATTGTTAAACTCCCATCTATTTGTCTTTATCTGGCATGCTTGTAATGGTTTTGTATGCTTATTTTATCTATTTCCCTCACTAGAATACAACCTTTGTACAGGCCAGGATCATATCTATATCCTTGATATTTCTAGTAGGGTTGCCAGATTTAGCAAAGGGAAATATTGGCTTCCCAGTTAATTACGAAGATAAGATGAATCATAAATAATGTTTTAGTATAAGGCTGTCCAAGAACTAAATAGGACATAGTTATTACCAAAATTATTTATGGTTTGTCAGAAATTCAAATTTAGCAGGGTATCTTGTATTTCATCTGGCAGTCTAGTCCCTAGGTCCTAAAATATGACTCTTACCATGTATTATTAGAGGAAAACTTGATAGCAGCGAATTTAAGTTGCTGCCATGGCAACAAAGCAGAACAGATATGCTAACCCTGTAAAATCAAAGTCAGGGCAGCTATCCCTTTCCATATTTCTGTTCTGACTTGCATATCTTTGCACCCAAGGAGAACACAGTCAGCCCACTTCCAAAGTCTCAGGCCGTCCCGTCCTGGGAGGGACGCTGACCTTATAGAGGAAGCTTTATAAGTTGTGTTCAGCTCGCTAGACAATCATGCCTCATTTTCAATGTGACCTTCTCCTTGGGTATCAGTTTCTGTTGGCTCTTTCTCCCAAGACTGATTCTTCCCTTTCAACCGTTCATCCACAGCACCCCGCTCTAAGGTTAGTAAGAGGGATTTCACACAGGATTTCCAAATGGATTGACAAATGAATCAATAGAAGGATAACAGACTGTCTCCACTCAAGGAGGCCACAGGACCTTTCCTGCAAAGACCAGAGAAACCCAGATCCAGTCATCCCCAGACAGCTATTCCCCTAAAGTGAATGGATTACTGCTTCTTCTTGGCGGCTGCTGAACTTCTTGTCTAATTTCATTGTACATGACTACCAGAATTAGATGCCTGCTGTCCTGGGTATCCACACGGTTTAGACAAATGCCTGGTTCATAGTCTCTACAGATTCCTGTACTTGTGATCTTAAGAGTAAAGCCCATGGGAAGTGCTCCCACCCCGAGTTCCCAGACATGGGCTTCTCTGGCCCACCAGTCCTGGACATCGAGATGAGAAAATGATCATTTGCAACATCCACAGAACACGTATTTACTGAGGAACAGAAAGCCACAGACATTTCCAAATGTGTTTCCACAAACACGCTGAGTTCCTTGACTGTGAAAAGTGAGTCCCTGTGTCCCCAGACGCTGTGAGATTCTCAAGGGAACCAGGCAAATCCATTCTCAATTACAGGAGCAGGCTTCGGTCTCACTTAGGTCCTGTGGGGTTCCTGGAATTGGGGGTGAAGTGGCTCCTGAGAGGTTCCCAGCACTTGTAGTAGTTCTCATCCAGACAGTTGCAGGTCTTGAGTCCCCACTTGGTGACTGCCAAGCTCAAGGAAGACTCAAACATAAATGCCTGGAGGAAGACGAGAAGAAGCGGTAAGGGGATAATAGAGTGTGCTTAGTTACATACGTAGAGAAGGTATGGGTGAACAAAACATTGGACTAGTTGTGGTCACATGTACTGCCATGATGAGGGAAAACACAAGCCTAAGGTTCTGGGTCTGGCTTACCATGTATAAGCTGATGAAGATGTCTACAATGTTTCTATCTACTTACGGCCCTGAGTGTGGGACTAGCCTTGCTCATAGCAGTCTGGAGGCAAAGTTTTTATTTCCAAAGGCAGATGTGGGAGAATCCTGGGGTCTTCTGGGGGACCATCACTCGTGGTAATGTCCTGATATGTAGGGCATACTTTTACTTCACAAAGGAAGGCGCAAAGCCCCGAGCTGAGAGGTGGCTTGTCTAAGGGGGTAACTGATGGTAGAACTGAGGTCTTAACCTGTTTCTTCAGGAGCCTGACCAAGAGTTCAGCTCAGAAAAAGGAAAAAGAAGAAAGGCGAGCAAATGAAGATGGTCCATAAAGGAACTGATGCCGCACACCCCACTGTGTTCTGGATGTTTCTAGCCACAGTAGAAAGAAACTGAAAAATATTCTATATAGACTAGACATTTCAGCTTTTTATCAGTGGTTGATTTTTCTATCTATAGTGTCTTTTGTAAAATAATGTGAACAACCCAAACCTCACAATTATTTTTGCTTTCATTAAGAAATTAAAAACCCTCTAGACAGGCCAAAGGAAAATTATATTATTCCTTTGTGACACCACTTAGAACACCTGCATTAATGTTTGGGGTCTCTCACACATGGATTTCTCCTATCTGTGTCGGTGGAGGTGTGTGTCTTTGCCTGAACTCTATAGCTTTGATTGCGAAGGTTTAAAGCCCTACTCACACATGAGGGTAAATGTTACAGGCATTATTATTGTGGTCTTCTGCTGACTTCCTGTGAGTTTTGCTGTCAGGCTGAGTCATGAAAGATCATATAAACCACTGCCCACTGGAATAAGGCTATGCCAGACTGCTCCGTGTCTGCATTATATGATGGGAAATGGTAAGGAAGACATAAAGTTAGGTCTCGGTAAAGTTTCTATTTATGTGTATGTGTGTATCTCTGGAGGTGAGGATGCACACATGCATACAAGTGCCTGTGGAGGGTGCCCTCCAGATATTCTGGACCTCCAGAAACCCAGCCCCTTACCATCCTAATCCCCTTCCCAAGTCAGCTCCATTTCACTGGCAATCCAGGTCTTAGACTCAAATTCTTACTGCATGTGAAAAACAGCCCTGTACCTCACTATTGTGGAACATTGCTCTGAGTAGCACGGCTTTCAAAAGCCCATTTGGAGGCCCAAGGGTTATTGACGAACAACACTAGGGTGGATTGTGTACGCTCAAGGGCTGTCAGAGGCAAAAGCCGGAGATCATTGAACCGTCTCACAGAGTTGTAGGTTCCTATAGATGCTCCCAGGAGGCTCATGAAAGGGGTAACGGAGCCTAGGCTAAGGAGAAAGGAAGGGCCCTGTGTCCCTTTTTCTATAAAAGAAGCTCTGGCCTTGGACTCGGGCCTCAAAGCAAACCCCACAGGACAGGTGGACAGTTAATGCTGGGGAGTGTACAAGCCAGGCGTTTCGTCAAGCAGGTCTGTGCTGTGGGTGTTAAACCATGTAGCACTGAAGGCATTTGTTTTAAAATGTGCAGCAAGTCTGCATGCATATGGTTTAGCATAAAATTATTTCTTGTGGTCCAGTAAGTCTGTTTCCAAGAATTGAAAAAATAAATAAATAAAATAAAATAAAATAAAATCAAGAACCGCGGCCAACTGCAATTGTGTTCTGCCTCGGTGTTTACAGCTGGACACGAGAGGAATACAAAGCAGGCTTTAAATCCCATCAGCTTCACCCCATGCCAAAGGAGAACAAAGAAAATGAAAAAAGCAACTGAGAATTGCTGTCACCAGCCCTGACTATAGTGAGGCAAAAAACTGCTTGACCCTCCTTTGCTTTCGGGACTGGCTGAAGGTGACATTTGCCTCCTCTGTCCTCGGGATTGTTTCCCATACAGAATACTCTGGGCCAGGGCTGCCTTTAGATACGGCAAGACCCTTCAAAGAGTATTAATAATGCTTCCTTGCATTTAAAGTTACTGAACACTCCATGGGGCATTATAACTCGCAGATGTCCTCTGGGTTGGATACTATATCCACTCTACAGATGGGAAAACGAAGCGTGGCGAGCTTACATAGGAATTAAGAGCTGGGATTTGAACTGGTCTGACTCCCTGTCAAACTCCTACACTACCACACCAGAAGTCTAGGGTGCATATGGCTGTATGTATGTGGACTTCTAACGTGAACACATAGACACAAAACCCTCTTCCACTCCACCTCTGTGACTTCGGAGAGACGGGAAAGAGCTGTTTTCCTCTACTGAAATTTCAGAGCCCAGAGGCAGGCCCCTGACGCATCAGGCTGCTTACCATGGTACCATCAGCAATCCGCTCGGGTGCTAACTGGGCCTTGCTGGCCTTCTCAAAGCAGTCTGCATCCGGACCGTGAGGGGTCATGGCACTGTGCAGGCTGCCTCCCCCTGGCAGGAATCCACCTTGCTTTGCCTCATAGTGACCTTTGATGAGTCCCATGAATTCACTCATGCAGTTCCCTGGGAAGGTTGAAGCAGTGGCATTTTTATTATCCAAGGCTAGACCCATGAAAAAAAAATAGTATTTCTTCTAGGTTTTCAGGTCTCATATTTCAAATTCACCAAAGAATTCCACAACAGTACATGGTTTCACCACATTTCTGGTTCCCAGTCTAGATCAAAGTGGAGTGTGTGTGTGTGTGTGTGTGTGTGTGTGAAGATAATGACAGAGGACAAGCTCTAGATCTACACTCCATTATCAAGTGATAAGCTATGAGGCAGATGCTTGGTTTCTGTAAAACACTGATTCATCATAACAGATAACCGAATCTGAACAGGATAGAATCTTATTCTTCTGTTCTCTTGGACCCCGAAATCTGAACTTTGGAAATAATCCTTCTTTCTACTCCAGACAGAGGGCATTTCTACATGATTCTTTGTGGATTACTTCCTGGGCTCTGCTTGCATGCCTTCAATGGATGGAAGGCTCTACGGAGCAAGCTATCTTGTTATTGAATAGCTCTCAGGGTTTTTTATTCTTTTATAATTAAGTGGACATTTTTTTTTTACCTCGCCTTTAGGAGTCCCATGGAATTTGACAAAGCCCACTCTGCTTCCTTTCTTTTGGTATTTTATTTTTGGTGAAATAAAACTCTTTCTCAACATGACGAAAACCTAACAGCAAGAATGAAGAAAATCTGACACCTGGGTAAATGCAGATACCTTTCCACCTCTGCCAATCCAGTCATCTGTCTGCTTCCCCCGCTACTCGCTTGCCCCTCCACCCATACTCAGAATATAGAGTTACTAGTCTAATTACTGTGCGACACAGAGGGTTAAGAAATGACCTGCTCAGAGCTGCTCCTTGTCTGTCCTGTGGAAAGATGGAAGGTGCTGGGCATGTGACATTGAAGTGACAGTCCTGGCCAAGTCAAACACTCGACAGGCCAGGGCCATGTCCTTCTTCTCTCCATGGGAAATACAAGCAGGTACCACAACACTTCTACAATCAATTGAGCAGCCACTCATCCCCTGCCACCTACACAACACACTGCTCCAGGCCCTAAAAGTAAACAGTTGGCAACCCTGAGGAAACAGGGAGGCCCAGATCATAGCCCCACATGCGCCTCCAAAGGCAGGTAAAGGAAGAGAAGCAAATGGGAGCCCTAAGAAACTGAATTGTCTTTTCTTTTTTTGGCGGGAGGGGATTTCAAGACAGGGTTTCTCTGTAGCTTTGGAGCCTGTCCTGGAACTAGCTCTTGTAGACCAGGCTGGCCTCGAACTCACAAAGATCCGCCTGCCTCTGCCTCCCGAGTGCTGGGATTAAAGGTGTGCGCCACCACTGTGATTTAAGAACAGGTCTGCGCAGAGCTTCAGTCTGCAGTCACATTCCTCACTGCACTACGTGTTGCCAGGGTCACCTTCACAGTTTAATTTTAAGAAGAGAGCAGGACAGAATTTGGTTTTGATCTGAATGTGAATTTAGTTAGCAATGAGTTGGGTGAAGATATTCTACATGGCTTTTGATGTTTCAAAGGACAGTGGGAGGGTAGAGCTTGCCTTCCTGATTAAAGCTGGCTCTAGTTGACTCAGGTGCATTAAAATGACTAGAGGCAATATTTCTACAGAAATAATTCTCCAATTCCCCTTAAAGTCACATCAAAGTAACAAAGATTTGGAGTATCGCTACAGCGATATTTTCATATCTCTGATAAAACTAATTTCTAACTTCGGGTTCTGTGTGTTTTTTTTTTTCCAAACCAACTCAGGGAACCACATCTTTATGAGATGGTATTTGGGGGCAAGTCATTAAAAACATCATAGGAGGCATGTCGCAAGGACCACTGTTTCAGGCGCTCTGCAGTACAAAGGAGATTAAGGAGTGAACCGGGAGCCCGGAGCACAGCAGTGCAGTTTTTGTCCCTCTACCTAGGAGGGGAGACGAGCCCTCCACCACTGCTCTCAACAGAAAGGCTGTAGACCTCTGGGTCAGAAGCCTCTGGCGTCCTAGTTCAAAGGGCAGCCTCTGAGTTTCTACTTTAAAGCCAACGAATTAAACTCTGGAAGAGAGAAGCTTGAGAATAAACTTGAAAGGGAAAGGGTACTCTTGATGGTGACCTTGAAGGGGCACGCTGGCTGTCATCTGACTGTGAAGTGGCCCTCTTTCATCCGACAGCCTTACTTCCCCACCCTCCCAAATGCTTAAACTGCCTATTCAGTGCATCTGTCCACCATGAAGCTCTGGTACCTGGGAACTGTTACAGAGAGGAACTCATATACACAGAAGGTTCTGTAGTTAACTATGGAAAATCATTTGTTTTCCAGACTGCTCCGGCTGAAAATGCACAATGCAGCCTTTCCAGACCTCTATGTTAAAAAAAAATGTAAAATCCTCCTGAAAGCAGAATTGTACCTTGACCTGTTTAATTTGCACAATTAAAAATGTCAACTGCATTAAACACAGCTGCAGTGTACTTATTCACTCTTGGTAATGCATTCACTGACTGGATAAATATTCCTAGACGTGGATTATGCACAGGCCACAGCACTAGCCGCATCAATTAGCAGTCACATGTGTCTGCTTTGGCATCAGACAATCTGCAATTTAATCCTGACCCTGCCACTCAACTAACTGTGAGACCTGGAGAATGGCTTCCTTTCTGTGTTGGTCTCATCTTCAGGGAAACAGAGAGGGAGATAATTGATATTATCTACCTCTTGCTGCTGTTATAACCCAAATAAGTTAATACTTTGAAAAAAAACTTATAGTAGGGCCTTACAAACTTGCCAACAATCATTAGTCTTAATAATACAACTAAAATAAAACTGAATTTGTCTGAGTCACCTTCTTCTTTGTGCTAGTGACTGGTGGGGAGGGGAAGAAAAGCTATCAAATGATCTTACCCATTAGTGAATTCTACCAATTCTACCAGCTCTGCACCATCAACCTGCTGGTGAAATGTGCCTATACGTGCAGTAGTGGCATGACTACCATGGGGTAACCAACTGCTCTCTAGATTTGAGGCCTGTGTCATAGAATGATCCTTTGCTTGGTTCTGGAAGTCTGGTCAAAGCCCAAGCCTTGGGAAGTCATAGGCCGTGCAAGGAAAATTACTACTGACATTTAGCTACATAGACATAATGTCAAATTTCCTTCTAAATATCCATGTTCATTTCTCAGACAGAAAATTGCCTTCAACCCCACTCAAAGAAGCTTCTGTTTGCTGTGGACACTGGTGAACTCAGAGTCTCATTGGCTGCTCAAGATGCTGAAAATAGGTGGAACATGGGAGCTGAAGCCTAGAGCAAGTGTTTATACTATCCCTTCTAGGGCTCAAGGGATGCTGTGGGAAGACAGAGTGAAGTAACATAGAAGCTGGAAGATAGGAGGTAGATTAGTAAACACCATCCTCTACATACAGAAGGGCCAGTGTAGTTAGGAACTCATAGGAGCTTCAGTTACTTGTGCAAGGCCCACACATGGCAGGGACGCTTAATGGTCAGGGAGAGGCCCTCTCAATGGTCAGTCATGAATTCTGGGGGGGCTAATGGGAAATGATCCCTTACTTCTGAACTGTAGGCCATTCATGGAGGGTACAGGTAAAGGGAGTCAACTTCATGATTCCATGATGGTCAGCCATTGTCTTCAGTTTTGTACCAACTGGTCTACCCCCAGGCTCCAATGAGTAGTTTCAATCCCAAGGTCATAGAGAAGGTCTTGGTCAAACGCTGGCGGACACAAATTAAACAAAAAGAATGGAATGTGGGCCGGGAAGGCAGTGGTGGTGCAGGCCTTTAATCCCAGCACTTGGGAGGAATAGACAGGTGGATCTTTGGATCTTCGTGAGTTCTGAGGCCAGCCTGGTCTACAAGAGTCAGTTCTAGGACAGCCAGGGCTATTACACAGAGAATTCCTGTCTCAAAAAACCAAAAAATAAATAAATAAATAAATAAATAAATAAAAACCAAAATGGACTGTGGGATAGAAATCAATAGAGATGAGGGGGTGTATGTGGAATGGGCTGTGGGATAGAAATCAATAGAGATGAGGGGGTGTATGTGGAATGGGCTGTGGGATAGAAATCAATAGAGATGAGGGGGTGTATGTGGAATGGGGGAGATGAGACAGGGTGGGGGTGAGGCAGTCAGAATGCGCTATACACACAGATGAAATTGTCAAAGAAAACAATTCATTAACAACACCTCCATCTTCCAGAACAGTTGATCTCCCAGATTAGATCGCTGTCTGCTTTGTTTTGTCAAAGTAATTAAATAAGGAACATTTTACTTGCTCTCGGATCAGATTTAAGTAGTTTCCCCAAACAAACTACTCCCCACCCTTTATAAAGATCTGAATTCCACGGTCTCGCCTCACAGGCTTCCAACCTTTCTGTCTCTCTTTCGAGCCAGAGAAACAGGAGCCAGGTTCAGTCCACGAATCACCCTGCAGATACTGTGAGGGCTGGAGTCTCTTAAAGCCCAAGAGTAGCCTGAGAGGCCGGATTCTAAATTCAAGGCACGTCAGGGGGTCCAAGAACAACCTGGCCCTTGTCCCCAGTGCCACATTACTTTGCTGTTCCTAGTGTCCAGCGGTATTCTGGTGAAACAGAGACTTACTGTGGTAATAAGGAGGCCGGAAGGTCTTATTTGCCACCCCCCACCGAGGTGGGAAGATGACAAAGTCAGCAATGGCCACTCCAGGTCGGATAGACTTGGCCGTGAGCACTGTGAAAATGGAAGGATCCTGTAGACACACAAGAGGAGGCTGAAGGTAAGATGCCTGGGAGGGGAGGGAGCCATGACAGCTTGTCACCTGCACAGGAAGGTGTTTTCAAGTGACACTTTCTGATTAAGTGACCCAGGTCAGAATTAGATATTTGGGCTCTGATTGAATTGGAGTAATCATTCGTGTGGCTGCCTTCTTGCTGTGATGGAAGCAAAATGCATTCACGCCGGGTAAGAGGACCGGCAACTGTGGTCTTAGCCTGCTGAGTCTACATTAGAGGCGCCCTATTTCCCTCCAGCACGGACAGCGAGAGTGCCTGACTTCTTCTACCCCCAGCCTGAGTGGCAGGGAGCTTGGTGCTGCTCAGAGAAGGTCGGGGAACAGACAAAGCAGCATCCACATCCAAGGGTGGAGGTCAGGATGCTTCTTGGGGAGGCAGGGCATCAGAGTCCAGATGGTGTCCACAGGCGGGAAAAACCTGAGAACTGGTTAAAATTAAGTAATTTTCTGACTGTTGATTGACTCCTTGATTGACTCTCAGAAGGATGAGATTATACTTTTTCCAAGAACATTAGACTCCTAGGTGGAAAGACCTAGATTCAATGTGATTGATATCTGTGTCACTATCAGAAGCAGTGCTGACACCGGGAGATTCAGAGATTGGGAATCTATTCTCTACTCCTTTAACTTTAATTGGGGAAAGGAGAACGTGGCTATTTCTTTTTCAAAATCACTCTCTGTTGAATTTGCTCTTTGATGGCTTCATGCATTTATGCAGTGCATTCTGGTGACCGCCAGCCCTCTCCTGGTCACACCACCCTTCCTCATCTCCTGTGACAGGATCAGGGAAAGCTTCAAAGGCCTATGACTTGAGCTAACTCTTTAAAAGTGAACAAAAGAAAGGTAGGGGAGAAAAGAGGAACAGAGGGAGGGATTTTATCAGGGAAAATAGAAAAGATATCAAGGTCCTCTGAACTTTTGTAAAGCAAGGGAAGGTTAAAGCCAGAGGGATGCGGTGAAGGATGAAGGAGGAGTGAGATGCGATACTAGAGAAAGGAGCCCAGGGCCAGATGGTGAGGAGTACCAAATGCCACACTTTCAAGCTCAGACTTAATCCTAAATCGTGGGGAGCCTGCAAAGGTTTTCCACAGCGGTGATCAGACTGAATTTAGGGGAGATAACCACCCCAGCAGTACAGAGAAGAGTGAATCTCCGTAAATTCAAATGAAAACCAAACCAAAACACAAAACCATGAACAAAACAAAAAGTCGACCCAATTCTTCTTGCTGGAAGTTACTGTTTTTCCTTTCATTTGTCAGGGGAAATGGTCGGAAACTATTAAAAGGAAGACAAGGTAGGAAGGCTCAAATAGAGCTTTACCAAGGTCTCAAGGTACTTCTTCACAATGCTTTGGGCTTGGAATCTTGATTTTCTTTTTCCCCTTTGGTTTTATTAAGATCCACTGTTGTTCAGAAAGGTAGTCTGGGCCCCCCAGAGAGAAACTGAATTGGCTCGGAGTAATCCTTCTATCTCTGACTCTCTGGCTTCTGCCCCAATTATCCCTCAGCTTGTGGGTTAAGTTAATCTATTATGAAGTACACTACAGAATGAGCTTCCCCTCAGGGTCACAGAACTAGCACTTTATCTGGGCTCTCGGGAGCCTGTACGGACCTATCCTTGGCCCCCTAATTGACTAAAAAAATATGACTAAATTCAAACAAAATTAAAAAAAAAAAGAATCAAGTGTTCAACCTTTGCGTAACTTTACAAGAGGGCTCCCTTGCTCTTCATAGTCAACCACAGCCAGAAGCAGAGGCTAGGGTGTGGGAGGCAGCCAGAGCAGAGTTTGCAAGGTAGCCAGGTCTGTAAACGACCCTCCCTCCTGCCTTCAACATTAGCATTAGCAGCTTTTCCTTTTCCCATTTGTGAGAGCTGTGATTACATTGAAGTAAAATAAGTTAGGTTGGGTATTTCCTGGCTTCCTCGTTTGCCCTGGAATGTTTCCTTCACCAAAGGGCAGGTGACCCTGTTGAGGATGTGAAGGATGACCTTGAGAACCTTAGCTCTGTGACTGTCCACAGGTATACTCTGGATCCCTCCCATTCAAGGGCTGTCTGGTCCCCAGGGTTCCTGCATGGCCCAGACTTACCGCATGATCGAAGGCCACTGCATTGATCACCATGAAGTTCTCTAGGTTGTACTTGTAGGGCGTATAGTTTCCGTGCCAGGCCACAACATTGAATGGGGAAACACTCTAATCACAAAAAACCAGGAGAGCATGGTCTTAGGATGTAATATTTCCATAGCTGCAGACTTGCAGTACTTACTGACATAACTTTTTATTTGCTATTGTTCTAAATTTAACTAGACCATCCTTTGGGAGCATCGTAGCTCATAATCATTCTGCAGTTGCTTCGCACACCCTCTCCTAGGTCCTCACTTCGTCGTTAACCCCTTTTCCAGTTCAGAGGCTGCAGCTGTCAGGCCTGTCACGCGTACAGCCAAAGCCTAGCACACTCATCAAGCGGTACTTTTTCAATTTTTAACTTAACTGTATCTGTATATGCCAGCAGTTCTCAAACAATCTGGGCTTCCCTCTGTTTCCTGGTGCAGCAGGCACTTGCTGTGCTATTTCTCCAGGGTTTTGCTGTCTAAAGGAACTTCTCATAGACACAGTGTCTGCTGTTGAGCTCGTGGAAGAAGACACCGTGAAGAGCCCCAATCTACATGTTTGAGATTTCAGAATGACACCGTGCTCTGTTTCATCTGGAGTAGGAGATCACTTTGGGGCTATGGTATTATAATCTTCCTCATGGGTACTGTGCATCTAATCCAGAAGGAGGATCCGATAAAGAATATTCTAAAGTTCAGAGTATATGGTTGATCAAAATACTGAGAATAAGAGATGCTCAGCCGTAAATGGGACATCTGTATCAATGCCCACCCAGCCAGACCAAGGCTCAAGGACCATCTTGAAAGAAGAAGAGGCAGAAATCATATAAGAGTTGGGAGATGGGAAGGAATATAGTGAAATATTTATTGCCTTCTATACATGAATGGTTGCCAAACTAATGAACTCATAGCAGCAAGATGTGCATAAGAGCAAGCTAGCCAAAATTCTGCTACAAATGGCATAGATGATCTCCAGGCCTCCAGGAACTGAAGATGTGTCACTGGTAGGCTTCCCATGTTCCTGTGGGTAGACCTACATCCATGCACATATAGGTAGCATTAACTGTAATTAGGGTGTATAAACAATAAAAAAGTGAAAAGATGTGAATTTGGGAGTTAGATGTGTTGAAGGAGATATGGAGAGAGGAAAAGGGGAAATGGGGCTGAATATGATCACATGTCTTTGTTTTTATGATATTATGATATTCTCGAGAACAAAGAAAAAAATTTAAGGGAAAAGACCATGCACAAAAACATGGTTAGGGCTAAGTGGAACCATCTTGGAAGTGTTGAGGTTCCTGAGCCTTACCACAGTGGGAAGGCATTGGCATTTCTAGTCATGAGAAAAAGAAAGGAAAGTACTGTTATAGGATGCCGGCAGGAGCCAGAACCATGAAGAAAAGTCTATTTGTAAATATTTGTAGCTAGTTCTTTGGGGGAAACAAGGCTCTGATTTATAGTATTTTCCGATATCTGTGCTACGAATACTCTCACTATGATATTTATCTCCCCCAATAATGTTTTTTTTTTTTTTGGTGAAAAAAAGAACACAAAGAAACAATGCTGAGTGCCTGGTTTTGAGTCCCAGTATGATGCTGCTGAAACCCAGGGTGGTACAGATGTGTGCACATCAGCTTTTACAAGTTGCAATGAACTGACTCCCCACACTGAGGCCACTCAACAGGAGATAGACCAGGCCCTATTCATGTCTTCAATAGGGAGGAAGCGATGAAGAAATGTCCAACTATTCTCTCTCCTGTCATCAAGTTTCTTCCAGTTGAGCCAAACAACAGACAGCAGACGAAGGAGCCCAGGCTACTCTGTGGACAAATGTCAGTCCCCCAGGATACAGACCATGGCAGTGGAGAATGGGCCAGTGGGACCATCACAAGGCTCCCCTGGGAAGTAGAAAGCTTTCTTTCTACAGCAGCTGCTGGCTACTGCCAGAAAGGAGGCCCTCTATCAACTGAGTGTAAAATAATAATAGTCTGGGGAGCATACTTAAAGCTCATGCAGATTTGTTCTTCGGATTCTCCAGAGGTTAACGCTTTTTGCCAGATGAGAGAATTCATGTAGGCATAAGCATCGTAAACGAGGCTTTCTGTGGTTTTCTATACAAATATTCCCTGAACCACTTCTGAAAAATCCCGACCCAGAGAACATGAGGATAACACATGACTGTTTGCTCCAGGGCTTAAGCTGAAGTTTCAGACTGCTTAGTCTCTGCTGGTTGGCATGGCCTTTGGTGCCAGTCACGGAAAATAACATGTGCCATGCAAATGCAGACAACAAATCAGACAAATAAAACAGCAAAGCAGACAATAGCAAGAGAAGGGCTATTTGGGTACTTTCATTATATGATTAATCTGTTCTAACACTCTGCTCTCGAGAAGTTAAGTAATAACACATAGTAATAGCCTGGCATGATGGGGCACACTCGAAATATCCTTTTTTGGAAGGTAGAAGCAGGAGGGTCAGGAGTTCAAAGTCACTCTCAGCTACAAGGAAAATTCAAGGCCAAACTGAGCTACATGAGACCTTGTCTCAAAAAAAAAAAATGAACAAGAAGTCATATAGTATTATAGCATAGATTATATATTTTTTTCATATGACACTCTTTCAGAAGGGACAGAATGTTGGCATCTCTCAGAATTAATTTTATATTATTGCCTGTGATTTCATGTTCTGAGTTTACTAGGTCCCTGGGATAGTTGAAGTTAATTAGCAAATTCTCTTTGTTTTAGATCAACGACTAATCAGTTGTATTTGAAATGAGGTTGTCACTGAGTAATATCAATCTTGGCTGATCTTTGTGGTGATTCAGCTTCTTTTTCAGAACATATTTAGGCGGCCTCTATGGCATGTTCCCCATGTCATTTCCAGAGACCGGCATAGTGCCAAATTTCCATTGCTAGATGGAAACCTGTAAAGTCTAACAGTTGGGGGTTTTAACCCTGGTTCTTTCACTTACTGGGACATGGGTGATTAATTATCGCTATCTGGCCTATTTTCATGACTAGGAAGTCAAGCAGTATGTAATTTGCAGTACCTCAGTAGTGTGATAAAGACAAAAGGATGTGCTGGGCGGTGGTGGCACACACCTTTAATCCCAGCACTCTGGAGGCAGAGGCAGGTGGATCTCTCTCTCTGTGAGTTCGAGATACACCTGCCTCTCTGTGAGTCCGAGGCTAACCTGGTCTACAGAGCAAGTTCCAGGACAAGCTCCAAAGCTACAGACAAATCCTGCCTAGAAAAACAAACAAACAAACAAACAAACAAAAATACACAAAAGGACATATGCAATGTACCTAATGTTGGCCTTGGCTTTTAACTGGTGCTTCATAACTCCACATTCAGACCTGGCTACCAACAGTCGTACTTTACCTGTTTGGAAGCAAACAGCTTGCCTTGGTATTTATTGATCACAGTGTAGCCTCCTGGCACTTGACGATCTTCATACCAGGCAACAGGGATCAAGAAATCACGAGGATTGGCCAAGCCATTTGCTCCTAGAACACAGTAATCCAAACCCAATTTAGATATTTCCAGAGTCAAAGGGAAGATGCCTGCAAAGGGAAGGTCTTCTTCTGTGTCAAGAACCATTCCACAAATTATCATCAAACTCCTTGCTGGCGGGGCAATGGCTGAGTGCCTGCCTGCCTGGCATATGTGAGCCCCTAGGTTCAATCCCAAGCAAAACGGAATCTACTGGATCTCAGTCTGGTAGATTTGCAGAAAGATCCAAGAGTTTTTGGTTGAAAAACAGAAAATTTCAAAAATCCTCATAAGCAGCATTGTTTTCTAAATTTGAAGAGTGATTGTGGCTCATTTGTTATTTTTATAATCATTACCACATCACTATTCATTTACCACGGGCGAGAGAAAGGGCGAGGGAGGAACCAGAGAGGAGGAGAGGGGAAGAGTTGCGAGAACAGCAGCAGATCTCTGTCCAAGGAAGCCCGGAGACTCTCTCCAACACATGCTTAGACCTTGATCTCTTATAAAAAGGCTACAAGCTATTGTCCCAGGTCGGCTTCTGCCCGGTAGATAGAACTCAAAAGCCAGGATTATAAAGCTGCTGTCCAGCATGAAAAATATGTGCCTGCCATTCAGAGAGGACGAATTGAGGACCTGCCTGTTTAGCTTTGCACAGGAGGGAGTGTTCCCTCCGGAGAAAGGAAATAAATCAAAAGACAAAATATGAAAAAGCGTAAGTGCAAAAACATAATTTAACTCAGAGAGGAGAGGCCTGGGGAGTGTTTTATCATTTCCAGCTCCTGGGGTTAAAAAAAAAAAAAGAGCCCCCAGCTGGTTAGTAAATTATATATATATTTTCCAGAGGGAACATGCTCCGTGGAACCTGAAGGCTCAGCTGCCTGTACAGCAGCAGGAAGCTAGACCAAAGTGGGAAGAGTGGGTGGAAGGCAGGATGACAGACGGCCCACCATGGCTCCAGCTGCCTCTCTACTACCTCCCACCTTCCTCTGAATATTTGGTTCCCCAGGGGAGTGACCAGAAGGCACAGGCTGGCCTGTCCTTGTTGCTCTGAAAAGCTGTTGACACAGAAGGAAAGAGCTGGGAGGTACGGCTCAGGATGAAACTAGGGGCCAAATTCCCGGGCTCCTTTTTTTCTCCAAGGGAGGCTCGAGAACAATTACTCCTAAGATCTTCCCTCCCTTCCCGCACTCCCTGCCTTCAGAGGTTGGAAGAGCAGGGGCAGGGACAGCAGGAAATTTTAATCTACCACATAGGGGCTGTTGTTTCTAGCTCCTTCATAGCGTGAAGTGACATACTCGTTGAGTGTGCTAAGTGTGTGGATTTCGGGAGTGTGCTCAGAAGGACTGTGGCGCTCAAAGGTCACGTGTCTCCCAGTCCGTTCCATTGTTCCACGGGACTAGAACCCAGGCCGGCCATTTTTACAGCTCATTGACTTCAGAAAGCAATTCTTCACGAAGCTCATTCTCATTAGCTTGTATTCGCTTAAGTAGTTCCCTTCCCTCTTCTCTTTAATGTGCCATCAAAAATTAATCAAATCTCAGGGCTGGGAAGGATGTAGCTCAGTGCTTGCCTCATATGCCTGAAGCCCTGGGTTCAGTCCTCTGCACTGCATGGTACTGGCATGGTAGTGAATCTCAGTACTCTGGAAGGAGTGGCAGTAAGATTAGAGGTTAAACGTTGTTCTCATCCTTGTAGAGAGAGTTAGATCAGCCTGGGATATAAGAGACCCTGACTTACAAAAAACAAAACAAAACAAACAAACAGAAAACAAAAGAACAAAACCCAAAAGAATTTACTCAAATCTCAGATCTCATTCTTGGTAGCTCTTCTTGGGATCCCCTTGGTGTCCTTTGAAATACATAGTATCCAACCAGAAACCCATTACATGCCTTTACCCTCATTGGTTGTTCGGTGGTGTTATTTTAGAGAAACTTAGAGTAGATTGGTTTGGGTCATTTTCTGTTATCCGTGCATTTGAAAGGAAGGCACTTGGTCTGAGGCGGTTGTCTGGAGAGAGAAGGTGTGAGAGTGGGAGAGATGGAGGGAGGTGCATCTATCTCAAGGGAGGCTTAGACGGAAGGCTTACCAATGGGTCCCAGGTCAGGTAACTCAAAGTGGACGCCGTAGACCTCCAGGATGTAGCCCCTGGTCTCCTCGAAGACATCGACGCTGAATCGCATTCCTCTCTGGAGGACAGAAGCACAAGCGTGCCTTCTTAAATAAATCATATTCTTGCAGTTAGACGCAGAAGGAAAGTGGCTGTGGCTCCAGGCATGTTGTTGTGGTCAGTTTGAATCTAATTGGCCCCCGTAATCTCATAGGGAGGGTTGCTGTTAGGAGGTGTGGCTTTGTTGGAGTAGGTGTGGTCTTGTCGGAGGAAGTGTGTCACTGTGGGGGTGGGTTTTGAGGTTTCCTACGCTTAGGATACCACGCAGTGTCTCCGTCAACTTCTTGTTGCCTTCTGGTCAAGATGCATCCTGTACCATATCAGTTTGCACGCTACCATGCTCCCTGCTACCCACCATGCTCTTTGCCGTGATGATAATGAACTGAACCTCTGAAACTGTAAGCGAGCCACCCCAATTAAATGTTTTCTTTATAAGAGTTGCATGGTCATGGTGTCTTCTGACAGTAGTAGAAACCCTAACCAAGACAATTGTGAAAGGCGAGCAGATTAAAGATGGGTTACAAAGAAAAATCTAATTCTTAATTGTACCCACAATAACCTCTCATTGGGTCCAGAAATAACAGCAGCTTCCAATTAGCCAAAAAAAAAAAATTTTTTTTTGAATACCTTCACCATCTCCTCTCTCTGATACAGCATCAAGCAGACAACAAACATTTAGGGAAGGGAAGGGATAAACATTCTTTGCTTTGGGATTGTGTGCTATATTAAACAAAGCAGGCACTGGGCCGCTCACCCCGAAGCCGCTGTGTGACTCACATTCCTCCCTGTTGCCCAGACATGACAGAGACATTTTAGCATTAGAAATAGCGGCAGCTGAAACATCTGATAACTCCTGAATTAGGGAGAGGCGGCGGGGAGGGGGCTCATTACCAACCTGAATGACGCAGATCTCGTTGGGCTGCAGGAGCATCTTGCCAAACTCTGTGTAAATGAGAAGCTTCCCTTTCTGGGGAACTGGCAACAGGGAGAAAAAAGAAGGCAGTGCAGGGGTGAGCCGCCCTGTTCAAGGGAGAACCTGAAGGCTTAAGGGCTGGAGTTGGTTGTTCTTGCGAATGAGGAGGCCTTTATTGTGTCTCTTGGGAGTAAGTTATATTCTGACAGTGTCAGTTAACTGTTTTACTGTCTAGACAGTCTGGAAAGTTCTTCAAAATCTCAGTCTTCCCTCCCACTCCGACCCCTGTAGAGGAGCTTGTATATATACACTTTTGTGAACTGATCCAAAAGGGTCATAGACATAGCATGGGAAATCACTCTTTTCTGACATGTCAATGGGAATGCTGGGCATCTGCATATCTCCCGACTACATGAAAATGTTCGCACCCCAATACTGTTGCTAACACCACCATGGAAAAACCAGAATAACCTCTGATGGGCCTTAACATTATAGATGGTCTCATAATTTTTTTTTTTATCTGAGTGGTGGTTATCGATGACAAATGGGCTTTCCTTGGGTGAGTTTAAAAGCAAATAGAATTTTCCTAATAAGTTAGCCATACGTTATTAACTTCATTTCAGCTGCCAACATCTCCCACGTGAGAGACGCCCAACAGAGACAGCCACAGGCAGAAAGCCCAGAGCATACATTAGACACTTGGAAGATGCTAGGAATCCTTTCCAGACCACCCGTGGTGTCTGGAGATGGCTCTTCGTTTAATAAAATAGTTGGGAGAACAGCAGGCAAGTGAAATGCGAAACAACAACAATAATAACAACAGCAAAACCTGGAATGCAGCGCAGGGCTCAGTCAGTCTTCCTACGCAGGAACTTACCAATCAGGAAATCCCCATCCGAATTGTAAAAGCATCTGAAAGAGACAGAGGACTTCCTGTGATTTCTTTTCAGTTTTAACACAATCTGGACACATCTATTCGTTCCACAAATGATCATTTCGTGCCTTCCACGGGAGAGAAGCCCCCCTCGCACAGTTAAAAATCCAGCAGAGTGCAACAGGAAAGGCAGATTGCGGACCTCCATCACTGTGAGGCACACTGGTGCTGGGGAGGACTGGGGACCTGCGCTGGTTTGGGGAGAAAGGCCTCCCTACAGATGGGACGAATGACAAGAGAGCCAACGGCATCATTTCGGCAAGAGAAGACACTCCAGGCAAAAGGAGAAGCAGGCTTAGGTACAATGGGACAAGAAGGCCTTCTTGAGAGAACTAAAGGGAGGCCGTTGTGATGTAAGTGGAGAGAAGGGAGGTGACCTGATACAGAGCTAGACCCAAAGAGGGGTCTTCAGTGTCTCACAGGGCTGTGATCTTGGCTTTGATTCATGATTCAAAAAGTAGAACAGCTGGAGCAGAAGAGATGGCTCAGCAGTTACAAGTATTTATTTCTCTTCGAGAGGACCCACGTTCTATTCCTAGCAATTCCATGGTGGCTCACAACTGTCCCTATCTCCTGTGCTAGGGGGTTCAACACCCTCTTCTAACCTCCACAGGCACCAGGCACATATGGTGCAGGCAAGGCACCGAGACACATAAAATAAAATAAAATAAAATAAAAATAAAAACAATTTTTTTAAAGATTTGAACAGCTCACACAAATTCGTTAAGTCAGCAAGATCAAAGTTAGGCTTCAGGCACAATGGTGTAGTTCTAGGGTTGTGTGCAAAGCTTCCATGATAGTCTCCTTTCCAAAGAAAAGGTAGAAATGTCACTTACTTTTTCATATTGAAAAGAAAGCAGACTATAGGGACCGGTAAAATAGCCCAGCAGGTAAAGACACCTGCTACCAGGGCTGAGGATTTGAGTTTGAAACCTGGGACCACATGGTGGAAGAAAAGAAGGGACTCCCCCCGCCATTGTCCCTAAGTTGTCTTCTGCACACATGTGCTATGACATGCACCCCCCTGTACAAAAACAACATGGAAACTTCTATGTGCAGGAACACTGAGCTTCCACAGAGCTACCAGTTATCAGCTAACACGGATACTTTGCCTTCACAACTGCTCTTGTCATGTGACTTTGGACGTGAGCCCTAGAGTGTGGTAGAATATTATTTTCACTATGTAAAGATGTGTTATATTTGTATATGATATGAATATTTCTTTAACTGTGCAAAGGTATGTTACGTTTGTTGATATATGCTGCATTTGTTTAATGATAAAAGATATGTGATTAATTATATAAAAATGTGTTGCATTTGTTTCACGTTGCTTGTACAAGGCACCTGATTGGTCTAATAAAGAGCTGAACAGCCAATAACTAGGCAGAGAAAGGATAGGAGGGGCAGAAAGCCAGGCAGCAGTCAGACAGACAGACATTAGAAGCAGTGAAAGTAAGATATACAGAAGGAGAAAAAAGGTAAAAAGTTCCAAGACAAAAGGTAAATTAAAAAAAAAAAAAGGTTAGTTTAAGTTAAAAGAGTTAGTCGAAAAACATACCTAAGCTAGGCCAAACATTCAAAACTAATAAGTCCCTGTGTTATGATCTGGAACCTGGTGGATGGCCCAAAAGGAAAATACTAGGGAATCTTAAAAATTAAAATTTAAATTAGTTCTACTTTCTTGAACTTCTTCATCACATGGTCCTAACCTCTCTTTTCTGCCTACGCTGTTACAAGACATTTTTGTCTATGTCTTAAGAGCCAGTCAAAATAGAGATTCGTATTTGATATCATTATCAAGAAACACACGCCAACATTTCTCCGAGAGGGGAACAAGTACCAAAGGGCAGTGTTTGTGCATGTGGGACTCTATTAGTCCTCCACTCTCTGGCCAACAGGCCCCGAGGGATGGGTCTATCATGCCCCAGCCCTGAACCTCTTACCTGTCCTCCATGGAGGTGTTACACAGGAAAATGTGAATAGCAAGCCCGTTGTTAGACTTGATGTCTCCAGCTCCACATAAGGTGTGCAGCCCCTGAGAGAGCAGGGGAGAAGGGGGAGTGATTAAGGGACCAGCCCTCTCCCTGGCCCCTGAGAGAATAATCCCAGGAGGCATTGGGAGCTAGGCTGCCTGAAATGTCTTGACTTACACTTGGTGGGCTGTGTCCCATCCTAGATCCTAGGCAACCTTGTCTGAAGCCATAATGGCCAAGTCAGATGAACTTACAGAACGTACATTTGATTATCACTATAATAAACCCGGAGGAAAAAGTTGGCACCTGGTAGAAGGCATGGGGGAGGGGGAGAAGATCTGAAGCTTCCCTTGACATTTAGTGCCCCTCAAGTCTACCCCACCCTGGTGCAGTCTCTCTTGTGGAGAAAGCCAGGCTACTCTTCCCAGAGCAGAGCAGAGTAGAGTAGACCTTGTGACTAACTGCAAGTCCTTTTGCTATAGGACCGGATGACCCACAGTGCAAGAAGCCCTGACACTGGGGGGAGGGAGGGAGGGAGGGCACAGGGGGGAGGGTTTACGGGACAGGTTGACTTCTAACATTGCTCTGCCCCAAACAGGCAGGTAGGGAGCCCAAACAGAGAGGGCTCTGCTCCTCAGATTCCCATAGACAGGAAGGGAACTTGCTTTTCTAGTGTCACTTAACTGATAAGTTTGAGGTCTACTAAAGTGCGTTCTCACAAGCCACAGGGACACTTCTAAGGATGAAAGCTTCAAGATGATTGATACAGTTTGGGCTAACACGGGGCACCTGGAGTTTCCCTAAGGAAGACTTGAGCCAAGTTGGCCTGCAGAACTCTCCTCTGCCCTCCTGGAGCACTGGCCCCCCAACAGCTCCTGTCCCTTCTCCCACACACTCCTTGCTGTGGGTGCAGGTGTCCCCGTACTGCCAACATTTGTAACTATCGAGGAGGGCAGCCAGTTGGCACTGTACTTATCGGGTAGCCACCTGAGTTGATGTCATCTTAGCCCCGGCATCCATTTCAGGGATTTCAAGTTCTCGGATGGGAACATAGTTTGTCCTTATTTTTTCCTATCCGAGTGGAATTTATCATCTCCTTCAAACATTATGAGCGCAGGCAGCAAACCGCAGCAGTAACGGAAGTGCTGTCACTTCATCAATGACAGGGACATTTTTATAGCCTTCATTACAGGAATCTCAAAGCATCATTTGGGCTCATATTACAGTGAGCGGATTTCCCCCATAGGTCTTATGATCTAGTACATTAACTAGGAGGCGTGTGTGCAACTATAAAACAAATACTATTTATTTTCTTGAAATATTTTTCCCATTGCATTTCAATGTAATTGTCCGTGTAATTTGATGTAGTTTATATTACCCAGTCAAATAACACAGGTTATGCCAGGCATAGCGGCTCATAGCAGTAATCCCAGCTCCTGGGACTGAGGGAAGGTGACTGTTGTGAGTTCAAGGCCAGCCTGAGCTAGAGGGGGAGATCCTGTCTCAACCAAACCAACCAAGCAGCCAAACAAACAAAACCCCAAACCCCCAAATTAAAGGCGACAACAAAATAAATAAATACATAAAAAAACAGGTGTCACCAGACCATCAAAGGCGCTATGAACCAGAGAGGTTACGAGTGCCCGTTCTGATGCAAAGAAGTGCTGGAGGGAGGAAATTTTACTCTCCTTGGCCTTTCTGTGAGGTCAAATACTCCTGGGTGCTCTGTGGTGTCAGAAGCCATATGGCGCCTGTAACTAAGACATCCCTCAGCCAACCCCCGTGCTACACACAGGTGTCTCTGCTGCCTCCGGTTCAGGCTGCTCTGCTTGGCATTCCGACAGCAGATGGTTAGCTAGCTCACCGCAGGACACAGGAGGGCAGTGGGAAGGCATGGAGAAGATTGACTTACGCTCACAAAGTCCACTTTCTTCTGAGACGTTTTTGGAATCTCAAACGGTTTCCATCTAAGCTGGAAAAAGAAATACCCACACAGGAAAATGACTTCACAGGGAGAAACCATAGGATTATTAAATAGATTCAATCCACAGAGAAAAAAGGACAACTGCTCCCTCTGAGAGGTCCTGGCCATTTGTGATTTTGTTCTGTTGGAACTAATGATTAGCCACCATTTCTTTAAAGGGGTTCTCTCTCTCTCTCATCCATGTATGTGTGCGTGTGCGCACACACACACATACACACATGCTCTGTAGGGTGTATATCTCTATGTATATACTATAGGGGTGTGTGTCTATATGTGTGCTGTAGGGGGTGTGTATCCCTCTCTTGCTGTGTGTGTATGCTCTGTAGGGGTGTATGTCTTGTGTGTATGTGCTACTAGGCTGTGTGTTTCTGTGTGTGTACTGGAGGTGTGTGGTGTGTGTGTGTGCTGGAGGTATGTGTGTGTGCGTGCGCGTGAATGCTGTAGGCCTCTGTACCTTTCTCTCGGTGTGATGTCGGGGTGTGTATATTTAATATGAATATAAAGTGCCTTTGTTCCTTAGTGCTTTCAATTATAAAAATAAAGAGAAGCCGTCGCTCCCTCTCTCGGAAGGTGTTTCTTTTAACATTTCGCTCAGGCACATCTGTGAGTTTTGACTGATGCCGCTTTCATGCTATTTATAATCGGCTCCCTTTCCTGGCATGGCAGCCTCTCTGTGTGGGCTCCTGACACTGCAGGGGAAGGCTCTACTTCTACTTCCAGCCCTTGCAGTTTTGAATTATTTCCTTAAGAGAGAGAAGAATGCATCCAGCTGAGACTGGATTTGGTAAAGGTAGCGCCCGGTTCAATTTCTTCCCCAAACCTTGGGTTTGTCCCCAGGCTGCCCAATGGTTCCCTTTAAATCACAATCATCTTTAATTCAATAACAAACTGATCTAAGGGAGTGGGGTGGGTGGGGAGATCAACAGGTGCCGGTCTCTCTCAAAGCATCAGCGCGGTGTTTAGGAATCAATGTAGACAGGGCCTGCCGCAGCCAGACTGTGAGCTCATCTGCCCAGTAGCCCCAGGGCATGTCTTCCGGAGTGACCTGCACCCTGGGGCTAGCTCCGTGGGCTGCTACACCTGGTGAAAATTGGATGGGCAAGGGCTCCATCAAGGTCCTGGGCTCTGTTCATTCTGTATTGTGAGAAGGCAGCCAGGCAGGAAAGGTGCTGCTGGGATTGTTCTGCCTCTGATCCCTACAGTCAGGCAGCTTCCATCATTTCATAAAAGCAAAGGGAATGATGACATTCTGGGACCACTTCAAAGGGATGCAAAATGCGGGTCTGAAAAAGACCGCTGAAATTGCGCTTAAAGTAGAATTCGAATGCAGGAAATACTTCAGGGCTGGTTCCAGTCATGATGGTACTTCTTGGGACACTGGGGAACCCAAAGAGTAAGGATCTAGCAGGGGCTTTCAACCATTGGCATGTGAGGCATTTTGTGCTGGGTAATTCTTTGTTGTAGAGCTGCCCTGTGCACAGAGAGATGCTTAGCACTGCCCCTGGCTCCTGCCCACCCGATTCCAGTCGCATTCCTCCAAGTTGTAGCCATCCCAAATATGGCCATTGTTAAAACATCCCTTTAAGTCACACATCCTGCCGAGAATTTCAGACCTAGAAGAAAATTTCCTTGACTTCGGGAAGGGCTATAGCTGAGCACTGAGCTTGTAGGATGGTGGTGGGTGCTGGGGACCAAACTCAGAACCCCGTGTTTGTGCAACACATGCTCTCCCCCTGAGCGGCGCCCCTACCCACGCACTGCTGCAGCTCTAAGGGGTGTCCGTGGTCCTCTACTGGCCACTGCCTACCACCTCTCTCTCTGGCAGCAGTGGAGGAAAATCACCTGGAAAAGAGTCATCACCATAGATTTCCCAGAGGAAGAATTTAAGTAGCCGATCAATCGTTTCCCTGGCAACCATTCAGCACTAACCAGAGATTCTCAACCCTGGATACCCATGAGAATCAGCTGGACAGCCTTTGAAACCATGACCAAATTAAATCAGAACCCCTGGAAGTGGGACCCAGGCATCAGCATTTTATAGACGTTCTTCTATGTGCAGCTAACCCGCACTCAGAGATTCGGTGACTACTGGGTTGCTAAGCCAAACATGCTTAGAAAAGCCTACCCAATCAAGAGGTAAGCCATACAGATAAACCAAACAAATAGTGACATCTCAAGCTAGATGTGGTGGTGGCAATGCCAGCTTCCAGATAGCAGCAAGGTTTAAATAATATAAGCTCAAGAGTTAGCAAATCCAAGGAAAAAGGAGAGACGGGCAGGGGATATGAAGGAAGGAGAGATGTTTTATATATGTATATATATATATACATATATATACATATATATACACATCTGTATGTATATGTGTATAATTCTATGTAACGTATTTATAAATATATACTATAAAAATGTTTTAGATTATATTTGCCGTGGGTAGAAATGAAGCCCCACCTCACAGAAAAGAGGCTCTTCCGTGAGTGGGGAAGACCAACCCCAAGGTCTGATGGGTTGGCAAGATCCACTGCAGACTTTTCTGAAGTCTCTGGTAGCACTGCAATGCTCCAGCTACAAGGAGAGAGAGGCTGAGGTGGTGGGTGAAAATGCAGCTGCGTGCTGCTATAGGAAGCCTGCCACCAATAGGGTCTAATTCCAGATGGAGGAAGTCATGGCACCCATGAGCCTTTCTTCACTAATGTAAAAAATGATCGCCTTCAAATGGCAGATGCTACAGAGGGAAAGATAATGTACCTATTGGGTCTGATGGCAGTAGATTGTACAGAGCCGTATCATGAGGAATAATAAAGATCCTGATGTGGACCACAGGAGAAATTCAACTTTGGATCTTCAGGCAAGAGGTTTTGGTCAGGAGACCCGACACGATGTTTTAGTGACTGTGAAGAGGGATGGACAGAAATGCCCTTGGAGAGCAGAAGAGAACATTCCCTGCTGAGGCCAGAAGCTCAGCCTACTCCATTGTTGCCGTGGTAAACCCAGGCCAACAGGACTGTGCATGGGGCAAATGGGAAGATTTGGCTTCTGCTACTCCCTCTGAGGGCAAATCATTTTCCCTGTTTGGATTGCTTTCCCTATATGTCACAGTGGGGCTATGGAAGGGGCTATAATTCCTTACAGAGGAGCATCTGACAATGGAAGGACACTTCATGACTGATAAGAACTCTTTGATTTGAGCTGGTACCTCCCCCAACCCCACGCAATACCAATTCATATACTGAAGCTCCAGCCTCCAGTGAGATTGCCTGGGAGGTGAGGCCTTTCAGTGGTAAATAAGATCTAATTAAATTATACGATATAGGAGTGTCAGACTATGAAGAAATAGGATCCAGACACTTGGGAGACTGAGGCAGGAGAACTGAAGGTTTTACAGCCTGGGCTATATACAAAGATCTTGTCAAAAAACAATAATAGTGAAATAAAGCCCAGAGTACTAAACCAAAATAATTATAGATTATCTTATTTCCATCATCTAGTCCGAAGAAAGACTGTGTGGAGACAAGAGGGAAGATGGCCCAGTAAAAAAGAAGCTGGGCAGTGGTGGCGCACACCTTTATTCCCAGCACTTGGGAGGCAGAGACAGGTGGATCTCTGTGGGTTCAAGACCATTCTGGTCTACAAAGCAAGTTCTAGGACATCCAAGGCTATACAAAGAAAACCTGTCTCAAAACAAACAAACAAAGAAGAAAGCCATTAACAGACATCAACCCTTCTCAGACCTTGTTATTAGACTCCCAGCCTCCAACCCTAGAGGGTACCGTTCCTGTTTTTTAATTGGCCCAGCCAATGGCATAATATAATGCTACAGTTTCACAACCATTTTTCATACTATGTATAACCACTGAATAGCTCTTTCCTTATGGAATTTAACTCTTTCAAAAACAATGGAATAGCTTACAGTCTCTGATATAATATCTAGGCTTTAGTATGTTTGAATGCATACTTATTGAATGGTATAAACATGAAGAACATTGCTTGCTGGGCAGTGGTGGCGCACACCTTTAATCCCAGCACTTGGGAGGCAGAGACAGGAGGATCTCTGTGAGTTCGAGGCCAGCCTGGTCTACAAGAGCTAGTTCCAGGACAGGAACCAAAAGCTACAGAGAAACTCTGTCTCGAAAAATCAAAAAAAAAAAAAAGAATATTGCTTATAAAAGTCCAAAATTATTCCCAATATGTGAGTCAGTCCCTCTCACATGTACAAAGTTGCTCAACCGTTCTGATTTTCTGTCCAGTGCTTCTGCCAACTACTGAGAGAGGGATGTTGAAGTCCCAACCATGACTTGGCTTCCTACATTTGTTTCCTTCAGGACTATCAAGGGTGACACATAGTTTGCTTTTCATCTGTGCAAATTCCAATGAAGAATAAACTTTTATGCATGAAAATTGAGGTGGTAAAAGAGTTTGAAAAGCATTTCCAAGAATGCTCAACGTTTGAACAAAAAATTCTTTAACACTTCCAAAGGAGGGCAATGAGAGGATCCCTGTTAACATTTAATGAAGGAGATTCAAAATTCATGCCCAAGATGAAAAGGAAACCAGAGAGAAGAAGCCTCAATATGTCTGAAGTTAGAGGACTCAATTTTGCCTGGATGATATGAAAATCCCTTTCAAGACTTAGAGCCCTTCATTCACTGACTCCGCCCCAAACTTCCACGGATTCAACTCCACTGAGTGACCTGGGTTCTCTTCATATGGGTTGGCTAGAGGCAGACATGTTATTCCAAGCCGGTAACACTGTCCAAGAACTTTGAAGTAACTTGTGGGTTACTCTCACATAAAGCACAGACATAATGCTTAAGCCAGTGCCAGTTGCAGCCGTGGTTGGAGGAGGTTCAGGATAATCAGTAATGTTGACTTCTAGACCTAGGAGGGAAGAGAGGGTGGAGGAAATAAAGAGTGACCCACAGAAGTCTTCGGCAAACCTATCAATCTCAGGAGAAAAGGAACTATAATTTATGTGGAGAGAGACAAGA